CCTAAGTTGTATAGAATAGTTGTGTGTGTGTGTGTGTGTGTGTGTGTGTGTGTGTGTATTCTATCAGGTTAAACTCATCAAAGGCCAATGCCGTCTTTCTCCAAATGGCTTTCTCAAATGTTCTTAAACTCTTTAGCACCATTCAAAAGAGCATTGGGCCTGATTGGAATAGCTCAGTGGTTGAGCATTAAACTATGAACCAGGAGGTCACAAGTTCAATTCCCGGTCAGGGCACTTGCCTGGGGGCGCAGGCTCGATCCCCAGTGTGGGGTGTGCAAGAGGCAGCCGATCCATGATTCTCTCTCATCATGGACGCTTCTATCTCTCTTTCCTTCTCCCTTCCGCTCTGAAATCAATAAAAATATATTTAAAAAACCCAAATCGTTGGGGACCCTGTGTTGCTTGGCTGGGGCCGGCCCTGAAATCAATAAAAATATATTTAAAAAACCCAAATCGTTGGGGACCCTGTGTTGCTTGGCTGCTGGGCCGGCCCTGCCCGGCCCCTCATGGTTGTCCGGGCTCCGGCTGCCACGGTCAGATGTGATGCGTGTCGCCCTGCCTTTCCTGCCTGCAGAGTTTACCCACCTGGGAGAGCGAGAACAAGATCCACTGCACACAGACCCTCCTGGAGGGCGACGGCCCCAAAACCTACTGGACCCGAGAGCTGGCCAACGACGAGCTCATCCTGGTGAGTCCTGGCCCCGATCTCCAGACGGTGCCCGCTCCCCCGTGCGCCCTCGCCCGCCCCGTCCACCTCCCGGTTCAGGCCTCAGAGACACTGTCTGCCCCGGGTTAACACGCGGGCAGACAGCCCCCGATGACAGCTTCGGTCAGAGGACGTCACGGTGCCATAGGGCCGAGCAGGGGCTGGAGGTGGCCGTGGTCAGCATCCGGCCCGCCCCACCCCTGCGCTGACTCTCAGAGGCTGCCCACCCCCAGCTCCGGAGCCTCTGGCTCCCTGAGGGCCCAGCCTTCACCGTTTCCCCTCCTCACTGCCCGCTTTCCTGCCTGGGAAAGAATTCAGAAATGTATGTGGTCAGCGCTCGAGGCGGGGTGGGTGTCAGAGACACTTCACATCCATCCCTCACCCCCACCGGCCTCAGACCCCAGTGGCCTCGGAGGGCCCGGCACGTTGGGCTGATGTGGGAAGTGTCTCGGGGTGACACAGCATGGAGGGTGGGGGGGGGGCCTCAGAACTGGAGAGGGGGCTCTACCCTAAAAGTATTCTGATGAAAATGTTTTTTAAAAACATATTTTTATTGATTCCAGAGAGGAAGGGAGGGGGAAGGAGAGGGAGAGAAAAAT